GTTGTCAAAAACTAGTACATGTTGGGAAGTTGAGTCATCTAATGTTTTCCAAATTTTGCCATAGCATCCGCCACTCCATTACTCTCCCGAAATGTGTGGTAGAGCTGCTGCACTACGACTTTATGTAGCATCAACCTGCATGCAGTAAAAAGGTGTGAGTATTTTAAATTTCATGTGGGTAGTAGGTTTATTAATATATATTTTACGTATATAATATATTGCGTGTTGACGCTATTGTTAAACTTAAAGTCAGAGGCGGATCCAAGATTTTGGCAGGATGGGTGCATTATTAAGAAAAAGTGGATCCAGAATATAAATTTTACGAGTTCAACATTTAATTCTTACGATTGTGTACCCATTGCACTTTTGGAATTATAAGTTCAGTTTTTTTTTAAATAGTAATTTTCTTACATCTATATCTATTTTCCATATTGAAAATATTGAGATCAATTGAACTCATTGACTATATGCTATATCATACACTCTGCTACTAGTTTTAATATACACATTTTGTTTAATCATATAAGATTTTACAGCGACAAGGAAAAACAACAAGATTGACATAAGATTTGAACTCACAACCTCACCTAGAGAGGTACACTCAATAATCATCACATCATATAATACTTTGAGTATGGGTGCACACACATATATTTAAATATTTTTAAAAAATATAATATTACTATACATGATTTAGGGCGGGAAACATGGGTTGGAACCCCTAGATGCGCCCTAAAGCGCCAGTATCTCCGCTTGTAGTACATTCGTATACGGAAGGTACTTTGTAAAGCCATATATCCATGTACCATTTGTATCGTTGAAGACATTTACAATACTTAGCTTCTGCAAATGTTACTACTTTCCCTTCAAAATATTAATTATTTTAGCAAATTAAATTTATTTTAAAATATTTGACGATTTAAAAGTCCAGCAGATCTCTATTACCTAATTGAGATGTTTAAGGTGAGATAATATGACAGTTCAAACAATTATTTTTATGATTAATGCAATTAAATATTTTTCTTACTAGGTGAGTAAAAACTTTAAAATAGATCAAAGAAAATAGTTTGTCATTCACGTAAATGTGTCATTAATTTTCTTTTACCTTTTACATCTCCATTTTCACTTTGGCAATGCTGCTACCACGTATGTGGTGACATTGGACTTTAAATAAAATTTAATGTATTTGCTTAATACTAGTATATGGGACCTTTACATATCTTTAGTGGCCCTAAAACGTACGTGCGTTGAGTGGTGAAATTAGATGCTTTAATCCAACATATGTGCCCAACACTAAAGTATGGGACCTTCACCTCTCTCTCTTTTGTGGCCCTAATTAAGCTATTGCTTGTGTTTGGAAAAATGCGATCTGAATCCGATGCACATTATATTCAACATTTTAAGTTTATAGATGCGAAATATTATCTTATACTTCACTATTTTGTGGTAATGAATGGTTATAATTGTGTGTATATATTACATATTATACCCGGCATACCTCGAGGCAGAGTCAAAATTTTAAGTTTATGGGTTCGGGGTTCTAATCGTTTTTAAACTACTGGATTCTAAATTAATAATTTATATATATTCAATAAAAATTTTAAGATAAATACATTGTTCAAATCAAAGCTACTAGCAACGCTATCGATTCAAATATCTATAGTGATGACTTGATTATGGCCTTAGCTATCATGCAATTTATGGGCTCACGTGAACCAATAATTTCTATCCAAAATTTTGTATACTTATTTATTAAGAAATGCACAATATTTCTATAAATATTTGACTGTGAACTCAATTATTATTATATATTAATTTAAGTTTGCTATAGTTAACCATATAAACTTCAAATTTTAAATCCATCTCTGAATATGAGGTTAAACTGACATTATGCATCACTTAAGGAAAAGAAGAATTTTAGCTTCACCCACATTTCAAGGGAGATTCACACACATTTCAAGGTTTTAGAAGAATTACATAAAATTTATGATCAATTTTTGAAACTTTTTACCCTCTTCAATTAATTATTTGAAAAAAGAATGTAGTTTCAAAAGGGACAAGAAAAAAAGAAAATCTAAAAAGAGCTGAATCTTGGATGATTTTTACCTTTTTTGGTGGGTCAAACTAGAGGAACCCCACAATAATTATTAAGAAAGCTAATCTCCCAAAAATGCATGCTTAGCACTTTATCTTCTCCAAGTAAATGACAATCAATAAGACAAGACTTTTGTCTAATTATTGAAATTAATCACTGAGTGAAATCCACTACTGTTTTTACAGCTTTTGACCAAATAATCCTTCAAGAATGCCTTTCTAATTTCGTCTTCCTTCCATTTGCTTAAGAATGCTGATATTGTACATGTTATTTATTGGAGTTTAACTTCTATATATACTCTTAACAATATAAAAAATAATTAAACAGAGAGGTCACTTTAAATCCTTTATAGGTAATTTTTTATAGGGAAAAGGGCCAAATATACCCCTCTACTTTGATATATTGTTCATATTTACCATCCGTTATACTATCGGGTCAAATCTAGCCTCACCGTTAGCAAAGTTTTTAAATTTACCCTCTAAGCTAACGGAAAGCCCCAAATCCCTTCTATTTACTCCAATTCTTCCTCACAAATCAATCATCTCCTTCGTGTTATCCACCAGAGAAGAATAAAGGTTCATATTACAGAAATAGAAGTGTGGAGTTACATCATAATTATTCTCCTTGTCTTTGGTTATGCTCAAACTATAAATGAAAGGCAAAATTCACAGTTTACGGGTATGTCTCTAACGGAATGAGGATGAGTGAAATACCGTAGATAATTTGGAAGAGATTTATTTGATTCTTCCGGTGGTCGAAATGTATTTGTTTATGAAGTTATTACCAATATTTATTATTTTTTATGGACTAGGCATAACAAGGCCATAGGTATCCATGTAGATGCATTCCCTTTCGGATTTGAATTTAGCATGTTATTTGATGCAAATTTTGATGCGCAAGCACTTCTGCATGAAATTGTGACATATGATTCTTTAGTATTGTCTAAGAAATCCTAAATTAAATGACTATTTAAATTTATGTCCAGCTTCAAAATAACATTTCAAAGGAATATTTACTGGTGTTCTCATGCCTGGAGTTGGCGAGTTTGTTAAGTCTTCCTGCTCTAAATAATCAAGTGGAACAAGAAATCAACTTGTCGAGGATATTTTCTTCTCTGGTAGAGCACGCGTAGGGATAAGTAATTTGTGAGAAAAAATTATAGTAAATTGAAGGAATTTGGGATTTTGGGGCTTTCCATTAGATTAGAGGGTAAATTTGAAAACTTTATTAACGATGAGGGTAAATTTGACCCAATTGTATAACGGAGGATAAATATGAATAATATATCAAAGTAGATGGATATATTTGGCTATTTTCCCTTTTTTATAATAAGCATACATATGCAACCTAAAAACGGGATAAATAACACTACAACAAGTAAAACTATATAAATAGTATAATCATCTTTGACATTTTTAATGTATATAGAATAAATCACATCTATTTTTGTTACTCTAAACTTGTTGGCTCACAATATTATCAATTCATTCAACTAATTCGTTAATGACAAGACACAAATTCGATGATTTGAACTACCTTTTGTCAGGCCATAATCACTTCAACCAAAACCGTAACATGGTTTTTTCCAGCCTTACATAAACTCCTTTTTTTCTCCTTTCAAATATTGGAGGACCCAAACTAAAGGTGCCAGAGACAAAGTGTCTGAAACTGAACTATGCATCACAATAGGAAAAAAAACAAAGGATAGTCCCTCCTCTACTCTTGAATAAGAAGCTCGCGCCCAACTTGATTATTTCAGCAGCTACTTGTTATTTCCGATTGAAATATATAGGAGCGAGTAGATTTGTCCGTCAAAATTTTGGTAGATATATAAAAAGAAATCACCTAATATAATTTGTGTTTGTTGCAAAAAAAGATATTCTCCCATTCTTGTGACATTGAAAAGTTGAAATTAAACATCAATTATAAGAATTTGTTTTTCTTCTTCTTTTTTTGTATTTTGGTGGGGAGTCTAGGGAAGAAAAAGATCATGGTACACACCCTTGCTAAGACTATACTTGAAAGTTAAAAGCTAATATCCCACTAAAATAAAAGGCTTATGAGAATCCAAAGATAAACAGGTTTATGCCCCCCATAATGCTTACACCAACTTCTGGATTTCAAAGCATGAGAGAAGGAGAAAAAAGCTTATTTCATTCTACCCCACTCTTTCAATCCCTACTCTATTTACTAAAGCACAAATAGCATCATCAAGTGGGTTGCCCTTTAAAAATAAATTGAAAAATGGATAAATAAACATAAAATAAACAAAAGGGGGAAAAGAATATTTATAATGTACCTTCATAGTGTCTAAATTCTATGAACAGTAACAACAACTATGTATATGCCTAGTTCCTAAATAANATATATATATATATATATAAATTTTGATTTTTAGTTATATTTAATATGATGATAACATGAATAGATTCATATAGCTGACACCAACTTATTTAGGAACTAGGCATATACATAGTTGTTGTTATTGTTGTTGTTGTAGAATTTAAGTTCTATGACGTAAAAAAAATAACAACCATATCTTTTTTTTTATTCACGTAGATATTATATATAAAAATCCCAAAGTGGGTCCAATCTTACAACTTGTCCAAATAAATGAAAATTAATTAGAAAATAAAAAGAAAGGAAATGGCTAGTACTAACAATTACATTATAGCAGTAACCGAATGAAAAATACAAGTTACAATATCTTTATAAGCTAATTACATGTAAATATCTATGGTGATTTATTAGTTTTAACATATATAAAGATAATAACTAACATGATATTATAAACTATACTGATAATTTTAAAATATTTACACTTGTCAGTATATATAAGGACATATTCTACCTTCATAGCTCAATGCATTACTATATAAAAAGTTCACTCTATCAGCCATTACTCTCAATAATTTCCAAAGCAAACCCCTCCCTCGTGTTCCTTCTACAACAACCCTAAAACCCCTCCTGCTTTCTCTTCACAACCACACAAATTGATCTCTCATTTCAACATCCTACATATATACTTACTTCTTTCTACTTTAAATACATTTAACTCTCCAATCTTTTCTATCTTCAACTTCTCAATTTCCTTTGATATATATACCTTTTCAAGTCATGTCCATCACTGGAATACATCCTGAAACTACTGAAAAAATGTCCAAGAAAATTATCCAATGGAGAAATAATGATTCAGGAGAGATTGATGTGTTTGAGGCAGCAAAGTATTTCTCAGGTGCAAATGAAGAATATTACAACAACAACAACAACAACAACAACAAGCATCAAAGTTTAAGAGGTGGAAGAATGAGTTTTGACATGCCTATAATGAGAAATTCATCACTTCTTCCTACACAAACTACTACTTATATTATGGAAAAACCAATGATCAAAAATAAAGATCAAAAGAAATACAAGCAACCAAGTTCTCCAGGTGGTAGACTTGCTAGTTTCTTGAATTCTCTCTTCAACCAAACATCATCCAAGAAAAAGAAATCATCAAAATCTTCAGCACAATCTTTGAAAGATGAAGATGAAAGTCCAAGTGGAAGAAGGAAAAGAAGAAGTAGTATAAGTCATTTTAGCTTTAGAAGCTCAAGCATTACTACTACTACTACTAATAGTAGTGATTCAAAGTCCATTTACTCTTCATCAAATTCTGGTTTTAGAACTCCACCTCCTTATACTCCTACTCCTACAAAATCATATAAAGATTTTAGAAGCTTTTCAGATCAACAACAAGTAGTAAAGTATAAGCAAGCTGCAGCTTTACAACAAGAAGTATGTGGTGACAAGAAAAGCACAGATTATTCTTGGTTGGATGAGAAGTTAAAGTTGAGCAAAAATAATGGTGAAAGGTATATTAAGAGCACAAATAGTGGATTGTCATATGAGAAAAGCAAGACATATAACAAGGTTGTTGATGTTGATGATGATGATGGTGCAGATAGTGATTCAAGTTCTGATTTGTTTGATTTACCAAATATTGACTTGGATTTCTATTCATCAAGTGGTTTGCCAGTTTATGAGACTACACATATGGATAATGTCAAGAGGGGTGCAACAATTTCCAGTGGCCCAATTTGAAGGGAAGTCTTGGCACAAAGGAAAAAATGGCAACGAGTTGGTTACAGTTTAAGCCGTGAAATAAATCTCTTTCAAAGTACAAAATCAGGCCGCGTGCAACAGACTCGATCTGGTCCGACCTATTCCCTAACCCTGCGCATAGCAGGAGCTTAGCAATCCCTTTTTTTTTTTTTTTTTTTTTGGCCTTTTATTCATTTCCATCTCCTTCACAAAATATTCACATTGAGCTTTTCCTCTTCTTTTTTTTGTGACTGATGTTAGGAGCCATGAAAAAGGAAGTCTTGATTTTCTTTGTCAGGATATGGGCATAGATCTGCCTTTTTTTCTTTTTTTGTGCTCCTTTAGAAGTTTTTGCAAAGCTTTTTACTGTATGTACAGTTTGGAATGTCTTGTTTGCCTTGACTTTTAGTGCTTTACTTTGTATAGCTATTATATATATGAAATGGGAATGGACTCTGGAGTGTAAGCACATCATATGTCCACCACTATAACAGCTTTGATATCATTATGCATGATTATTGATATATATTTCCAATCTCATGATGGAAAATCCAACCATAGTCATAATAACATTATGGAATATAAATCATATTTTCTTTGACTTTTGTAATAAGCATTACCAGATGAGACTTCTGATTCATATTATGAAAACTTGATATCATTAGCTGTTTCCTATAATAATTAAGTAACAAACCATCCTTTTTGAAGTATTATATCATCCAATTAGATGATACATAAAATATTGGATGAAATCACTTATAAGATAATTAAGGTAAATTTTTATGATAATAAAAAAATTTATGATAAAGGATGATAATATTTCACAAGTGTTACCAAAAAACAATTATGATAATATTAGTTAGTAACATTAAAAACAATAATTGTAATTAAGTTAACCTACATTGATTGTATAAAATCCTTATACTATCAATACATATAATTTAAATCCTTAAGTATATATCAGATGAGCTTAATTAACTGGTAAAAAATTTCTCTTATTGGATTAGTACAGTAGATTTAGCATTTGAAGAAATTCCCCCTCCCTATCTTGTGCTCTCTCTCTTCTCCCACCCCTCCCGAAAATAGTTTAATTTTTATCCACTATAGTATAAAGAATAAAAGGTAGAATTAATGTATGACTAACTCAAATAATATTCTGCATGCAATATATAATTTCTAATTCTTGATTAATTTCATTTCTTCTGTCCAAAGGATACAATCTAGGTAAACAAAATTGGGAGGTGACGGAGATAAGTTATATAATTTCTACAATATTAATGTAATCAGTTATAGCAAGTTAATTATTACTCGAATTTCATGTCTAATGGCGCAAAAAAAACCGTATTAAACAAATATTACTGTAAAAAAAAAAAAAGAAAGAAAAAGAGGGCAGCCTGCACTAAGCTCTCTTTATGTGCAAGGTCCGGAGAAGGACCGGACTACAAGGGTCTAATGTATGCAGGCATACCCTGCATTTCTGTAAGAAACTGTTTTCACGGCTCGAACCCGTGACCTCTTGATCATGATAACAATTTTACAAGTTATTGCACAATATCTTAAATTCAATTAAAAAGGATGGGTATGTGTACGGACAAAAGCATATCACTATATATAATGATAAATAAAACTTCTATGTTAAATCAATAATAATTAGAGTATGTTAGATGTAATACCACACCACTTTGTCTAATCAAAGACACAAAGCACTATAAAAATCATGCAAATCTATTCCAAAATTCGAGTTAGGAACACATTAATAAAGACAAAGAATCTAGGCCCAACCTTGATTTATTTATGCATGAAAATGACCCAGAATCTAAAGCATGCTACATAATATAAACATAAAGAAGAGAGACAATTAAACATAACAAATCAAAGAGAAGGGCGATTTATGTTCTTGTGATTATTATAAAGGTCAAAAAAGGGTCCAAAAACTAATGACTAATTAAATATGATTTTTTTGACAAATGTAAAGCTAAAGGACTAGATTTTTATAAATATTGGCAATAATCGTCTAAAATAAAGTAGATAGCACGTCTCATATATTTTTTGTGTGTGCGAGCGTTATTTAAATATTTCCTCTATGTGTCTGCATTACATATACTTAATATTTTTTTCATTACTAAAATAATTGCAACTTTTCACTTCCCGAGTATCAAAATGAATTTTTGACTAATATTTCAATTATTTTCTTTCACTGTTTAAATATATGTGATTAAAATTACAACTAATAGTAGTACTTTTCATATGTTTTGAACATCTAGAATTTAATATCGAAATTAAATTAGTTTCATTCCAATTGATCAAAAATATATCATCAATAAGCGAAGAAAGTCCAAAGAAACTAGGACGGATGGAGTATTAGAATGTGCCAAAGTTAAAAAAATATGGCAATTTATCAAACTTGTCGCCATTTTTATTTACTAAATCTAGTTATAAAAAATAAAAATAAAAAACAAGAGGGGTTATTGGCATCTAAAAACTTCGGTAAAAAATCCATATATACTTGCAATTATTTTCAAGAACCCGTTTCAATCTTTATGAACAATGATAAATTTATATTGAATGTAACAGTACTCCCATGACCGCCGAATCCTGAATCCACCTCTGAGGATAGCCATATTTGGGAATTTTTATTAGATGTTATCACTTTGAAAATTGTTTTGCACAATCTTCTTGTAACTTTATAGAGTTGTAAGTAAAGGAATAAGAAATCTTAGTAGTCAGAGTTTGCTGACTATTTAAATTTTTACCTTAGGTAAAGGTCGATTCCCCACCTTATATTTCCCTCCTTATTTCCCCTTTCTCCTTGCTCTTCCCTCTATGTATAGAAAAATATTTAATCAAAGAATTTGTCTACATTATCAAGTCAAATGGGGGCAAAGATATGGCATTGATTGAGTCATTCTTGCTCTTTATTAGAAGCAGAGTTCTAACATTTATGTAAAAATCTTTTTACACTATCAAGTTATTTAAAATTTAATTATGTAATATTTATCGTGAAATGATATGCAAATGGGTTTAACATTTAGAATTGTACCATTGAACCAATTACACTTTTAAAATTATGAATTGAAAATTTAATTATTTTTTACACATATATTTATACTTTAAGTCAAAAATACTGAGTTAAGTTGACCCGTTACCTACGATAAACAATAAAAATGGGCCAAAAAGAATGGACCAATTAGAAATGAATGAATTCAATCCACATAGCCATCGTTCAACCCATTCTCTAACTAAAAATGGGTCAATGCACGTTAAAATTAAGAAGGGATCTTCACACATATAGTCGGTCATNATATATATAATACATAAATTATGCATATATTATACTTCCACCGATTATTTTTAGTTTAAGCGATTGAGTAAGCGATTATTTGGGTTAACTTTTCAATGGAAGAATTTGACCCCAAAAAGTGTGTGTAATCCCCGTTCTCTATGCTCCCTACAAGAAGCCCAACAATGTGTATCTTTTTGTTTAATTGTTGTCTGTTGAAACGGGAAAAAGGAAAAGAAACAAAATCTTTCATCATTATGGGATTTTCTTTTTAATTTTTATCCGACGTTCGGTATTCACATAAGATCCTTTTAAATTCATATTCGCGTATGAAAGTCCTATATTATGGTGTAAAATGCTTTCTAATAACGGCGATTTCACACTCGGGACTCGAACTTGAGACTATAATTGATAATAAATGAGTACTTATCACTCCACTACGGTCCTCGACGGTGGTCATTATGGATTTGGTTAGTCTTGGAAATGATCTAAAGACTTTAGTAAGTTCATAAGCTGTAAAAGTGTAGTTTCTTCATTTACTCTTCACAAAGAAGACTTTTTTTTCTGTTCAGATTTATTTATTCTTAAGGGGTGGTTGTGGTTGAAGTGAACTTTAAATATTATTTTTTTATCCCATCCAAAAGCTATCATACATGTGTCAAGATTTGCTTTGCTATTTTATTACTATAGTATAGAGACAAATCATTGATTAAGGTATTTGGTTAGAACAATGTTGCTTCATGTCTATAAAAGCAGTTTTTGATGAGACATAACTGTCCAAAATACAACCAGTAACTCATAATTTGATAAATATCTACCATTGCATGAATTTTAACATATGGAATTTGATAAACCAGTTAGTGTTATAGGAGAATATATTAATATAACATTTGATTTCTAGATAAAGGTTATATTAGAATTGTCCATAATTTTAAACCCTGTGAAAATTATTTTGCACCTTATGAAAAGCTGATATATTGATGATTTGTTGAGTAAATTTTTGCAGATGTGCGACTTTACAACCCCTTAAGAAGCTACGCCAAATTGTTATTAGATTGATGAATTGGTAATATTACCAAGAAATTTGTTGGTATTTCCTTATTGTATCATTAGTGCGTGTATATATATATATATATATATATATATATATATATATATATATATATATATATAAGGCAAAAAT